CCCTCTGCAGTCAGGGCCTCCCCAGGTGCCTCCCTCTGCAGTCAGGGCCTCCCCAGGTCCCCACCTCTGTCAGGGCCTTCCCAGGTGCCCCCCTCTGCAGTCAGGGCCTCCCCAGGTCCCCACCTCTGTCAGGGCCTTCCCAGGTCCCCCCCTGCAGTCAGGGCCTCCCCAGGTGCCCCCCTCTGCAGTCAGGGCCTCCCCAGGTGCCCCCCTCTGCAGTCAGGGCCTCCCCAGGTCCCCACCTCTGTCAGGGCCTCCCCAGGTGCCCCCCTCTGTCCCCCTGGTACAGCAGCACCAGAAGCAGCGATATACTGGAGTTGTCCCAGCACTTTGCAGGTGGAGATGGGATCACCAGGACATGCTGTTCAGCCACACTGGCCCAGTCAGCAGCTCTGCATTCAAGTGGGAGACCTTGCCTCAGTATGTAAGTGGAGGCTGGGGAGGTGGCTCAATGGTTAGAGCACAGGCTGCTCCTGCACAGGACTGGGGTTTGGCTCCCAGCACCCACATGGCAGCCCACAACCGTCTGTGACTCCAGCTCTGGGGACCCAATGCCACCTTCTGGCCTCAGTAAGTACCAGGCACATATGTGATGCATAGACATGAATACAAGCAAAACACACATATATGTAATTCTTTAATTAAAAAGTAAAAATGTTTATATGAGTGAAGAACAATCAAGGAAGACACTGACATTAATGTCTGGACTCCACACATGTGCACTCACAAAACAATCAATTAAAAAATGTGCTGGGTCTGGCGGTGTGTACATGACACCGCAGTGATGATGAGGCAGGAGGATGGCCACACGTTTGAGGCCTGGACAACTCAGCGTGACCCTACCTCAAAATAAAGCAATGGAACAAAAACAAAACACTCAGCTGAAAGTGAGATAAAATAATGAAACAAAGCTCAAAGGGTAAAGCACCAAGCCTGAGGGCCAGCAAGACCGAGACCCACGAGGACGCGAGAACGGCTCCCCCCCCCCACTGACCTCTGACCTCACACACGCCACCCTCCCCAACAAACACTGGCCCCAGCATTCGGGAGGCAGAGCAAGCTGATCTCCGAGTTGCAGGGCAGCCTGGGCTACACAGCGAAGCAACGTCTCCACAAGAAAAAAATGAAGTGAAAAAAATAATAAAACAGGAGCTGGAGAGAGGCTCAGCGATCAGGAGCAGCTGCGTTCCAGCCCCAGGGCGTCAGACGCCTCTTCTGGCCGCTGTGAGCACTGCACACGCATGCTGCACACACCGACAGGCACCGCACACACCGACAGGCCCCGCACACGCGTGCTGCACACACCAACAGGCACCACACACACCGACAGGCCCCGCACACGCGTGCTGCACACACCGACAGGCACCGCACACCCGTGCTGCACACACCGACAGGCACCGCACACACCGACAGGCACCTCACACACCCACAGGCACTGCACACACCGACAGGCACCGCACACACCGACAGGCACCTCACACACCCACAGGCACTGCACACACCGACAGGCACCACACACGCATACTGCACACACCAACAGGCACTGCACACACCGACAGGCACCGCACACGCGTGCTGCACACACCGACAGGCACCGCACACCCGTGCTGCACACACCGACAGGCACCGCACACACCGACAGGCACCGCACACACCGACAGGCACCGCACACACCGACAGGCACTGCACACGTGCACTGCACACACCGACAGGCACTGCACACGTGCACTGCACACACCGACAGGCACTGCACACGTGCACTGCACACACCGACAGGCACTGCACACACCGACAAACAAACACCTCCCTTAAAGCCTTCGCGGCCACGCACACCAGGCACAGCGCAAGCCACAGGCGCCCACTAAACGCCTGCGGGTGTGCGGAGGCCCTGGAGGGCGGGTCGGGCGGCCCTGCCGGGTGTGCGGAGGCCCCGGAGGTCGGGTCGGGCGGCCCTGCCGGGTGTGCGGAGGCCCCGGAGGTC